ATATAATTTTATTTTATTTTATTTTTTTAAGGCGACGTCGCGTCGCCTTGATGCGCTCCGAAGCAACGCGACGTCGCCTTTTATAAAAATAATTTATATATAAAAAATCTTATATATATAAATATTATATATATATATATATGTATATGTATATATATATATATATAATATATATATATGTATATATATATATATATAATACCGAGCAATATGCAGATCTGTATACCGCTCGGTATACAGTATCGTACTGTACCGAGCGAATGTCGAAACGCCGGTACAATATGATATTTCAAACCTTGGTTAAAACATAATTGAATCATATGCATCAGAAAATGACAAAAAAAAGGAAAAAAAGTGGAAAGATTGCCTATACCACTATACTGTCACGAACAAATCTATACACAGGGTGTTCAAATTAATGTTTGCGTATGTCTGTGTCTTTCGGTTTTGTTTATGTTTTGCACCGCATGTAAAGGGTTTGTAGTAGGCTTGATAGAACTATTTTGGTTGACTTTTGTGATTGTTTCAGTCTTGTAAACACAGGTTATGTGCAATCATCGTGTAGAGGTAAAACTGTCCAAAAATAAGCTATCCAGGCAATCATTCTGAGGGTTTTCTAGTTCTGCAAAATGGTGCGGAGTGTCAACCAACACAACACCTAAGAGCTATCTGGGTGGCATATGACTGGATGGGCCTTTGGGGTAGTGTTTAGGGTTTGTTTGTTGCCTTGTTTTTTAGTAGTCTCATGTGGACACTTGTGGAAACTTTTGGCCACGATGAACCACTTGAACCCTTTGTTGCACGGTCGTTCAAAGCTTTTCAAGTCTATGTTTGTAATTTACATTATTTATCAAGTGTTTGCCAGAATATCTATTTGTGGGATCCCGAGTTAAACGCTTCCTCTAGCCCGTCTTCCTTTTTGTAGGTCCTTAAGGGATCATAAGAGGTTTTGGGGAGACTGACCCCTTACGGATAGATATGCAATGATGCCACATGATTTAGGCAAAGCTAGCTAAGTCCGTGACAGATAATATTAGAGCGAGACAAACACGCTTAGAAACACTTGGCATGCAAACGTAGGGGACCTAGCAGAACTATGTTAAGGGTAGACAACACACATAACCGTTTGAGGGAAACGAGCGTAAAGACACCATAAGGACAAGTGAGCTCGGAAGAACGCGTAGTGCACAAAGGCCGGGATGATTGAATTCGAGCTACAACTCGATATTGACAACCAAATTTGATAGTGCTCAAGGCAAGCAAAGCACTTGGCAAAGGATGAGACTATACAAGGAGAGATGAGTTGCTCGATGACCGAAAGAGTTGTGCAAAGCTCACAGAGGTGAGGAATTGCTAATTCGAAGTATTTGATGCTCATGAAATGGTTTGTATGCGGACGACGTATTATTCGTGGCTATCTTAAGGCGCGACCGAAACTCATCGTTATGGAGCATGAAATCTTTCTCTTCAACATGGGAAGGATACGTCCATAAGAGCCTGAAGTGTACAATAAGTTTAACATTTTCTTGACCTTGAGCGACGTAGTAGCCATTGTATTGGCGAAGAGTCATAATCTAGCAAGTGCATTCGCGATGGTTAAACAATGCACAGTTTTTCAGCAAGGCGGAGTAGTCCAAAGGGATGGTGGTCTCCGAAACTTCTAAAAGGAATGATACGAAGAGAAAAGTTGCTCCAATAGGACAGATATCCAGGAGGGATAAGTCTTGATTTTCCTGAAGGAGAATCATGTGCAACAGACTGTACATGTTGAGGGGAGTACCTCAAGACAACAATTCCATAAAGCTCAACGGATCGAGCGAGTGATAATGAGTCACATGATCTTGCACGAGGTAATGCGTTGGTGGATGCATTGTTAGATCAAGTGGGGGAACAACCTTAGGCAACACCAAATGAAGGTACACTTAAAACCGATGAGGAAATCATACTCAATGAAAGGCTGACCCATGGAATGGTGGACATGAGCCCCACCATCAACTCAATGTAAACCAAGCGAAGCAACTTAGGTGGAACTTGATGAAGTGCTCGAGCCGTATGAAGGGAGTCGATATAGAAGACGAAACATGAAGTGGAAGCACAAAGTTTTCCTTGGACAGAGGTCAAGGACATGAACTCTTGCAGAAGCAAAAGTGAAATCATGTCATTCCATGAGTCTCTCATTCTAATGGAGAGGATTCATCTTGCATGGTGCCAAAGAAGAAGGGAGCTTCAAGGCACATGTATCTTATCTCGACAAAGCAATTGATGGAGGGACTAAGGTGACTCAACTTGCGGAGGCGAAGTTCGGGTCATAATGCTTTGGCATGACGTAAGAGGACACAAAGGCGGGTACTCTTGAAGAATATGCAACATTACTACAAGTTGTGCATAGTAGAGATTGTGCTGGGGGGCAACGGTCCAGTATCCAGATAATGGCGCATTAATTTCATCGAAGTTGGTGACCTTCAAGAGCTACTAGGCGATGGACTGTCCTAGAGTTGTGTTTCGTCCGCATGTGACCCGAGAATGGATGGACGAAGGTCGATTTCCAAAGGAGCAAATGGAGGTGACGGAGGCCCTGCGATGTATTGGTAGACGCCACACATGGAGAGATCGAAGTCCAAGTTTATCCCACAAAGATCAGAACACAATGGAGATGTCACCAAGAGGTGACATGGTGCAACGAATCGTGGTGGAACAATTCGAGGCAATACAACACACGGGAGAAGTCTTGTGAGGGACTTGATCATACGGAGGTATGATTAAGAGCTATTGGTAGCTCCACTTTAGTAAACAACACGATGGCAAGAAGGGCTATGAATTCAAGGAGTAAATGTCATGGCACCGAAGAGGTGGGCCTTTCGTGTGTGTATCGAATTTTGTATCTGATGAAAGCCTTAATTATCAGCATATGGGGATTGTGTACCATCGAAGGGGATTTCGAGTGCAAGTACCTGTAGTCGCATGGGGGGGGGGACTTGATTATATAACGGTATGATTAGAGCAGTTGGAGAGTTGTACTACTCCATAGCTCATATTCGCTTAAGGAAGCCCAACAAATCAAGAGGCAAGGCTGAGTAAACAAACGTTGCTACCAATGATGCAAAGGAGAACATAATCGATGCGAGCCTTTCAATATAATGATAGAGGTCATGCATGAGAGTTGTAGTCTATCTTTCCATCGACCAAGGGAAACTACTCGGAGAACACAAAGGTATTGAAGCGACTGATCGAAAGGGGTGACGAAGCGACGACGAGTCAGAGGGAGTTAGCTACCCAAAAACTAAGCATCGATTAAAGATGGAGGTGGACTCGAAGGAGCGCCACAATGCTGTAGAGACGAACCTACCGATCGCGAAGAAAGGGACATAGATGCGAGGTGACGGATAGTTAGACCATGGGCATGACAATATCATGGTACCACAGAGGTGAGACTTCCGTGGAGTCATCGATCCCTTGCTCTCATGGAAAGAGAACACATGGTCATGAAAAGGGTCGAGGTGGAGAATGCAGAGGCAAACTCCAAGTATTGAGACAAGACAAAAGGGCAGAGGCCAGGGAACTTCACAAGGCCGATGTCGATGTGCTTCTCATCAAAATAACCAAAAGTGGAGGACTTCAAGTTGATGAAGGAGTATTCGACCAAGGAACGAAATAGGCAATACGCGGTGTTGTGCCTTATCTACTTAGAGGAGTAGGTAGCGAAAATGATGAAGAAGACGATATAATCCAAGAGGCGACCAAAGCTTTCAGATACTTGCTCTGAGTCGGGACAAAATTTTACTCTTTTTAGGTAAAACTTCTTGTATTCCAAAAGTTCAATAGCTATGAGAAGGCGAATTGCAGTAGCTAGGAGTGCAAACACTTCGAGTGCTTCAGAAGTATAAGCAAAGAGCAAGGGAAGACTAGTAATTAGCTTGATGCATGAAATACAATCCTCGAGGAGGCGAGTGCAGTCAAGTAATCATTACCTTCTCAACTTTTAAAAGAATGGGCAAAAACGAGTACCCTGGTTCTCTGCACATGTTCAAAGACCCTTCGAAGAAACTTAATAAGAGACAATGGTTGTCAAATCCTCACCAATGGTGATCGGTTATACTGAGAGTACATTGTCCGCTTCATTTCCCAACAAAATATCAATCGAAAACGGAAGTGATATGAACCTACTTGGAAGCGACAAGTAAAAGAAAAATTGATGGACAAATTTTATGGAGGAAAGACCTAAAAATACTTCAAAGTTTGCAAGATAATGCTCATTAAAGCTCCAACAAGCATCCACCCAGTTCAAGCAACACGAGACTTTTGACTCGACTGAGGGATCTCCGAGGTAATGCTCGTTAAAGCGCACAATAAGAAAGATCTTTTCCTTAATCTGAGGGATTTGTAGGAGCCAACAAATATTAGCATAACTCGACTGATCACACACTCGAGTCAAAATCATTTGTGAGTTGAAGTAGTATTGGCGAATCAAAGTTCAATTACTCAACAACAATGGCGGAGAGCAGCTAAGAGCCCAAAGGTGCGTAGCAACTAGGCAGAAGATTAAAGATTCATTAAAGGCGAGGAAATGTCGTGTTTGCAAAGGCTTCGACGAGGATGTCAAAAGAATAAGTGAAGGAGAATGTCACAGACAAATCTATACACAGAGTGTTCGATGTAATGTATGTGTATGTTCGTGCCTTTTGGATTTGTTCATGCTTTACATAGCATGTAGATGGCTCACAATAGGCTTCACAACCCTATTTTGGTTGGCTTTTATTGTTGTTTTAGTCTTGCAAACATATATTGTGTGTAGCTGTCACGCTAAAGCAAAACTACCTAAACATAAGTCATCCAAACAATCATTTTGAGAGTTTTCTAGCTCCGTAGAGTGGTGCAGAGTGTCGACTAACATAACACCCTAGAGCTACCCGTTGGCACATGGTTAGATGGACTTTTGGGGTATTGTCTAGGGCCGATTCGTTGCCTTATTCCGTAACAATGACATGTGAGCACTCATAGGGACTTTCGGCCTTGACTGACCCTTTGTCACATGATCGTTCAGAGCTTGCGAAGTCTATGTTTTTAATTTGCATTGTCTATCAAGTGTTTACTGAAATATTTGCTTGTAGGATCTCGAGTTAAAACACTTCCTCTAATCCAACTTTTCTTTTACAGGTCCTTAAGGGACCATAAAAGGTTTCGTGAAGGCTAAGCTTTTGCGGACGGATACGCAAGAGTGTCGCACGACTTAAGCAAAACCAACCAAATTCGTGACAATACGATGGAAGATAAAAAGGAGAAAACAATATGAAACAAGAACAATGGTGACTGCAAAGTCATAAAAATAGGAACATGAATGTGAAATTATATTATAATGTTCATGTAAAAGAGGTAATAATTAATATTATGTGTATATTATCAACTAATTTAGAAGATGTGGTTAAAAATCTAACAAATATACCATCTTGGGTTGGCTAGTTACACTAGAAACCTGGGTTTTAACAAACTAAAGTATCCACATTAGCACAAAAGAATGAGTCCCGAAATCTGGCTCCATCTAATATGAAGACCAAACATTCCAATTAATCCAGATAGAGACTAACCTCAACATGAAGACGGTCAACGTAAGCACCCGATATCCATCCGCCAATGCGGAGTGCAGCATCTTCTCCCTCAACCACCTGTGTGCATTTGGCAGTCAATTCAGAAACACTGCAAAAGCTACAAAAATCCGACTATTGATACCTCAACATGTAAAATAAGGGGAAAAAATTCGAGCTTATTCAAGCTGAAGTCACTTGGATAAACGGGACAGAACTACTCATCCGTTTGCATCTATAAATATACGATTAAAATCTCTAAAAGCCGAATCCTTCGTAGTCTCGAAGAGGGAAAAAGCATGGAAAAGAACAAAAATTTCAAACAACTTCGCAATAAAGCAAAAGCCCTAAAGAACTAAACTTCAGCCTTTCAAGGGAAAGGGAAAAGTAAAAGATCAAAGAACTCGAGACATCTCACTGTCAAATTTTCAGAAAGGAGAATCGGTGGGGAAACGGAGCTCACCACAATGAGATCCTTGAGGTTGCTGGCTTCGAGGAGCTCGAGGACGTAAGACAGGACGGGGCGGTTGGCGACAGGGAGCAACGCCTTGGGGACCTCCTGTGATCGAAGCAAAAACCCCAGATTAAGCGCACGCGATGGAGATCGAGAGACCGAGAGCGAGAGGGAGGACCTGGGAGACGAGGGGGTTGAGATTGCGGGAGGTGCCGCCGGCGAGGACGACGACTTCGAAATCCATCCTGGCCATCGGGACGAGACGGGTCGAATTCGCTGTCGAGAACTGCCGGTGCGGAGTGGCGAGGGTTTACTGCCATCCAATCGAACCGTGTGGAGGCTCCAATTAATGGGTTAATCCGGACCCGTCAATCTCGATGCCCGACCCAACTAAAATAGGGATTCCGATCGAGCTTAAGTCAGACTCAATACGGTCGGTCGAGACTGGTAGAATTTCGAGTCACGATGAGCGTATATTAAATCGATTCGAGTCAATTCACCATTAATAAGAGTTAAACGGTTGAATCGAACCAAGTTAAGGAATTCAGTACACACATGCGGCACATTCCATTGGTTCTGTCGGTAGTGAGTTCAATCCTAATTCGATGAAAGCTTTACCCAATGAATGAATCCACGGGAGAGCTACGAAATCTAAGCGTCAAAGAAACGTGATAATGGAATTTTCAACCTCATGAGTCCAACATTTTCCTGTGGAAAATGTTGACTTTGCAATGTGTCGCCTTTACTCCTTTTACACGCGACCCATTCAAGCGTGCATTTTTTCTGCGGCAAACAGCTTGTCCACTTGGAGAGCAATTAATCACATCACCTCTTTCTGATTCGATACATATTGCATAAGACTAGTAAGGATATGATGACAATGTATATGCACATGCGTTGTCGCCCGTCTCGCTCTCTTCCCCATACACACGTTACATACATACAAGTATCGAAAGTGCTCTCTCATCTCTAACCCCGCCCTTATCCCGTCTCAAGAAAAGTACCCATGAGCCCTGTGGTCAGTGGAGGTTGGCCTTGGCATCATTTGGCTGTACGTACCATCAAAGAAAAAGTCATCGCCCACCTCCAAGGCAGTGCCGGAGTTGTTGAACCCTTGAAGAAGAAGAGCATCGTTGCTGTTGTTGCTACGATAAGCGCTACCGGCTGCGGTAAAGATGTTACCATCAGATGACTGATACTGCTGTCGCTCCTCCTGTGGGTACTGCAAGCTCTGCCCCTGGTACTGGTGATGCTGGAGGTGGCCGAAGGACGTGAAGGCTGTCTGGTTCAGTGGCTCATGCGAACTATAACCACCGCCCAGGTTGGAGATCGGGACGCCGCCAGGCCGGTACTCGGCCGAGTACGGTCCCGAAGGGACGCCGGTGAATTGCTGGACCATCGCGCGGAAATTGGTGGTGTCGGTGTTGAGCATGGTGGTCGGAGCCCTCCGGGTGGCTCTCGACCGCCGCCTCACCGGCTTCCCCACCCGGCCCTCGATCTGTTGGTGGGTGACCTTGGCCGGCAGACCATCGACGGTCAGGTTCGAGTCCGATGCGGCGGGCGTGGCCGAGGGGTACGGCCTGGCGCCGCCGCCGCCGAGTTGAGCCCACTGCGCTGGGCCGGAGACGGTGTCACCCATGGCCATCGATGGATGAAGCGGCCGAGGGTGGGCATATATAGGGGATGACTCGGGCGGTCAATGGTTGCCTAAGATTTGGACGTGAGCCATCCGATTCTGACGTGTGAACCATGGATGGCTGCCACGTGCGGGCTGTCGCACCCGCAGCGTCGGCTCTCTGATCTTAAAAGCAAGGTTGGTTCGCGGAAGCATCCTCCCGAATTGTTTGGTCGAGAAAGAAGGGGGTGTTGACTCGGTCGGTCGACCAAAGTCGGCCTTCAGCGCCGAAGCATTCCGCATGGTGTGCACAACACTAAGCAACACTGTTCATCATTTCACGTCTCCAAAAGCTCACGGTATGACGAAGGAAGATGAGTCACCTGCATCTATCGCTTCTTGTTTTCTAGGCAGACCTGTCAAAGAGGGAGGAGGAGAGTCAAAGAGATTAATCTATAATACATTAGTACTTTTGAATCGTCATCATCCTTCTTTCAGCTTCTTACTTTCAATCTTTCAACTTCGATACAGCAACTCCGAACCCTATTTTGTCTCCCAGGCATACACAAAAGTGGGGGGAGAGAGACAGAGGTATATGTTTTGTTCAGAAAGAATACAGTAGAAGAAGTGTGGCACTTCGAGAAGTAAAGACTAAGATGCGTGTGAAGTGACCGCATGTTCTAAGTGGCCACAGACACCCTCTTGCGTTGCCAGCTGCTGATGCTGCAGAGGCCGAGGAAGGAGTCAACAAACGACGTAATTATATTTAAAGACATTAATGAGAGAGAGAGAGAGAGAGAGGCGGGAAATAGGACCCACCAGAAGAAGACTTAGAATTGGTCAACAAAGGAAAGGGACCCATGTAGACGTGGACTTTACCACTGTAACCTATAAAGGTCTGTCTGATGCTACTAAAATAGATTTAAGCATTTCGAACCAATTATACGATGAGGTTGAATTATGATAAATAACACTTTCAACTTATAAAAGACCTTAAAATTCAAATTATGAAGCAATTTCGATTTCAATTTGACCTATTGGTTCTGATTAATAAAATAAAATAAATAAATTATTTCATCAAAATTTAAAGATCAAATTATTAGATTTTAAATTTGAAGTGTTAATCACTATATCATGGAATCCACTTATATTTTATTTTATTGTTAGTTGGTTTGGAATCAATTCAGACTCGTAACTCTCATTTTGGATTCAATTTGAAATCATCGAATTATTAACTCAATTTATTTCTTTCGGATCGATTCAACACTCTGTGCACTTATAATAATAATAATAATAATAATAATAATAATAATAATTCTTTCTGTTTATTACCCACATGAAGGCCGCTGAGTCAGTCGTACGCGTGGGAGACTTTGGTGTTCATTATTACAGCCATGTCAACATATAGCTGAGCAGTATATATATGTATATATGTGGACAGATATAGATGCATTCCATTACACTGATGCAAAACTGGTGGGCACAACTCTGAGCCACAGCCTCATCATCAACAATGGCCCATCGTCTCCACCTTGTCAGTAGTGGAAATGCTCGGCCACAGCCGCATCATCAACCGTGGCCCATCGTCTCCACCTTGACAGTAATGGAAATGCAGAGTCCTCTCGGACCAGTAAGCCACAGCTCTTTCACCCTCTTCTACGAATGACAACTTGTAAGAAGCTAAACCTAGATGCTTAGTCCTCTGGTAACATTAAGCCGAAGCATGACACTAAGAGAGAGGTGATCTATGCGGAGCTCCCTTCCTCCTGTTGTTCAGGGACAGTACTATCCGAGGGAAGAACCTGCTCTTCCTCGTTCCTGAGCTGCCGCTGCCACCGCCGCCGTGGCTCGGCGGCAAGCACTCCTCCTTGCTCTGCGCTGGCTGTTCCAGGGTTGCATTAGCGGCGATCGGACCGTCATCCTCGTCCACCTGGAGACTCTCGAATCGAGAGAAGGCGAAGTCGGAGTCTTCGAACCTGAACAGGATGCTCGATAGATCCTCCCCACGTAGCAGAACATGGTCCACCTGCAATCCCAAACTCTGTACATCGTCATCTATGTCGAGTCGGGTTCAGCATGCGGAGAGCTCTCCGCGAGTTGTGAGAGTTGGTACCTTGCAAGAGAGGGAGCAGAAGTGGAAGGGTTCTTGGAGGATTCTGTCGCAGGTCAAGCAGATGTTGCTGGAGCCTTTGGAAGGCCGGGACTGTGGCCTTGGCTTCAGGAACACCACTTTGGCACTGTTGATGGTGTAAGGCTGCCACCAAGAAAGATGAAGCGTCATCAAAGAATCACATGCCACGATTTGCAGCACCAATTCAAATGCTCTAAGATTTTACTGGAGCACCTGCACAAAGCAACAGTCCACAAGCTTCTCGAGATCATCCAGTCGAACCACATCGTTGTAGACATAGCGGCGCACCTAAACAGGATCAAGACGGGTTGCTGTCATCGGTGATAGATCCAACTGTGTGCAGTAATTTTGCAAGGGAACAATTGGCAAAAGGGTTGCAGACAGATTTGGCCTCATTTGCTATCATATAGCATCAGAACTGATGAACTGGGAATACTGCAATGAATGCCAAGTTAAAAGGGTGTTGTAACGCTTTGACGACACGATCCTTATCAGAGGAAGCCACGAAGGAAAAGAGAGGACGGGAGATGGAAGACAGCAGAGCACGGAGAGCATTCCTTGGAAAATGGCAGACTACAACCGGTAAATGTAGGAGGATTTGGAGGGTGAAAAGGGCCACACCATTGATTGGGACTCAGCATGGCTAATGGCCGTAAGCGTGGTCAAAAAAGTTACCATAGTAAAAAACAAACGGCAGGAAACAGATGGAAGGAGGAGTGAGAATGAGAGTTGTGTTTGTGGGGAGGGGAAAGCTCATACTTTTTGTGGTAAAAAGCTGCAAGTTATCAAAAGGAATCAGAAAGCTAAGGAGAAAAAGGAGCCAACCATTTCTCCTTAGAAAAGGCAAGTCCAGACAGGCCTCGATGAACAGAGAGAAGTGGTACAGGCAGCAGAAACTGGTTTTGCTTGCTGGAGAAGTAGATCAAGGCATGCAAACAAAGATGAAGAACAAGTGGAATTTAGAGCAGAGTTCAAGATTAGTTTGGATCAAGTGTCTAAAATCTACAAAAGGTGTTGGTGTCTAAATCAAGAATGATGATGACCTCAAGAGAAAATGAAGTGATATTTCAACTAGCATGTGAGCTTCTGCAGATGGGGCCATGACTACCACCACCACCATTCAGGAAAGCAATGCCTACAAATCCCATTTCTGACAGTTACTATACCCATATGCATTCATCTCTCTCTCTCTCTCTCTCTCTCTCTCTCTCTCTCTCTTTATCTGGAATAGATGTTGTGGAGAAAATTATTGGCATTGCAAGTATCAGAAGAAGGGAGAGAGAGAGAGAGAGAGAGAGAGAGGGAGAGAGAGAGAGAGATGTGCCGCAGCTATTCCCACCACTGTTGAAGCTGCAACAACTGCTGCTTCTCTGATGCCAAACAAAACCTGACCAGGATGGTAGTAATTTCCCCCTTTTCCAAATAAGAGATCCTAGAAAATGAATTGATCAGGGAATATAATTGCACAAACATGTGGAATTCTTTCTATATAGTGTCTTTTCTTTCCTATGACTAAACTGGAAAATAAAGAGAAAGTAGAACACAAAGGAGAGAAAGATACCACTGCGAGTCTCAAAAGATTAGTGTTGCTATCAGTAATATCCAATCAATTAATTCCTGGAATAATCATTTGGAAGAATAATCTAACTGAGGAGCACAACATTATGAGAGAGAGAGAGAGAGAGAGAGAGAGAGTCTTTTTCTCACAGAAATTTCCTCTGTGCTTGCAGGGATGATTCTATATCTCAACCGCCGTGCTGGTAACATTAGTAGGAACAAAAGAGGAGCAGAGAAGATGGAAGAGTTGGGAGGAGAATAAAGAGGAAGAGGGGCACATCATGCAGAGGGAGAAGGATCATCATCACCTGGAGGAGCGGGTGGGAGCGGTGGGCGGGAGCGCAGTGGGTGCAGATGCTGGTGCAGCAGCCGAGGCAGAAGATGTTCTTCTCGTTCTTCCTCCTGCTCTCGTGGGCCTCGCAACCCACAAAGAAGCTCTCCTCCACCAGCCCCCCCAGCCACCCCGGCATTCCTCCCCCTCCTCCTACGTACTCCCTTCTCCCCATGTACGCGCGCCAGCGCACACACACGACTTGTTCTTTCTCTCTCTCTCTCTCGCTATATGTAAATATCTATGCAGAAGAAGAACAGTTCTTTACCACTGGTTTACGCAGACTTGAGAAGAGGCGAGGAGAGAAGGAAGGCAGTGGTGCAGCAGGGGAGGCTAACGAACTTGCTGCGCCTATATATAGAGGAAGGTGACAAGATTAAAGAGATGAAGACAGGGGAAGAATAGAGAAATGAGTAAAGAAAGGCAAGAGAGAAGATGATGGGCCCACCAGAAGAGCAATTATGCATTTACATATAAATGTAATATATGGAATAATGGGATGATTTTAAGAATAGCTTTGTCATGTCACGCTATTTTTGTTTGGGAAGGGGAGTGGAGGAATCGGTGGGTTTATCTTATGGGATTCACAAACCCCACTACTATTTCTTTGTACCTTTCTCTACTATCCTGCATGGCTTATTCTTCTTCCCCCATTAAATACTAAGAATGTATTGTAGGTTGAGATTAAATGGAAATGAGGAATTTTCTATCTTATTTTTAGGTTGAATGAATTATATATATATATGGTCGAAAACACACACAAAAATCATATCATCCCAAAGACTTTCGTCATCAAGTGTTTGCCACCCCTTCGGTTTTGAAGGACCCTCTGACTTCACAATGAAGCAGCTGCTGCCACAAGACATCGCCAGGAGTTCACATGGTTGCTCCTCCACCCATTGTTTCTTCAGCTGGGGGACAGCCCATCCCCATCGCCATCCCCATCCCCATCCCCAACCGAGAAGCTTTTCAAGTGACGACCACTCGCCTCCTCCTCCACCCGAGGATGGAGATTGCAGTACCTGCAAAGATGTGATGTCTCTTATGTTGACGCATTATTTCCTGGGAAAAGGTAGACTTGGTTAAGATGGTTGGTTGACAGAGGTCAGCTATCTTTTAAGTGCGGCAGCAGGTAGAACTCGAGTTAGTCTAACCTATCATGGAGTAAAGGAGAGCTATCACACCTATTTCTCGAGGCACGGCCTCCGAGAGATGACCACTCTGGTTTGCATCACATTATCTGACTCACAAAACGCTTAGCAGGAGACAAAAAAGAAGAGCAGATTTCCAAAACCATGCACAAGGAATTGGCGCCATGTCAGGAGGCAATAACTCTAACCGTGTGGTGGGTACATGCAACATAGGAACTCCACTGGAACAGTAGTGCTAAGCCATCTGCATTGACCTGTAGAAGTGGACTCGGTGCTTCGATTACAAACTCGCGTTTCAGCTTCGACCGTGGCTGCTACGGAGGATCACGCCATACTGTACACCTCGCCATCCCCTACTGCTGGATTCCTGCCAAGAGTAAATATCATGACAACATGGTGATGGATTGGACCGAAACCTTTGCCACTCACAGAAGATGAAACAGTTCACCATTACCCCTTCAGCCGCAGATCGAGTATAATAATAATCAGGCTTCAGATTATTATTATACAGAGCAACAGAAAACACATCAGACTTCAGATGTAAATTGCAATCAGAACTCCTATTTATCTTGTTTTTTTGTTCTCCTTCTTTGTCAACTCATAAAGATTGTAGCGATGGAAATAAGGTCTACATTAGCCACATTTTATTTTCAATACTAGGAACAAATCACCAATGAGTGGCATCAAAATTGCATCAATTATACAGTTGAAAAACTCCAAAAGCCGTAGGAAGCGGTACCATCTCTCTAGGTAGTTCCTCAGCACATTTCAGTGTTTGGCACTCACTAGAGCAATGTGTTCGATGAGGTCCAGCACCCAGTTACTGAAGTGAAAATTTCAAGTATCAGATGGAAATTTCTAATATTGAAAGAAAAATGGATAGGTGTAGTGGATTCTAACTTGTAACCCCACTCAGTTGTCATACCATGAGACTAGCTTCATGGAAGAGGCATTCAATCCAGTACCAACCTTAAACAAATGAACAGGAATATAATCCATACGATCATGCAGTACCTCTCCTAGTTGTAAATTACATGCCGAAACAGACTTACCCTGAGTCACCAATGAAGTCATTGGAGACATCGTCTTCATCGGTGAAGCCAAGAATGCCCTTTGGTGAACCCTCTGAGGCACACCTGAATGATAATCAAAGAATAGACATGCATCATAGGAAAACAAAAGCTTCATCAATCTTCACGTAGTTTCAGTGAACTGTAATGTGGTAGAGACAAAAAAATCGAACACAACAAGAGATACAACAGAAAATAGCTATAAGGTTAATTCAAAAGGATAAGAGGCAAAGCAGACTCCATGTAGCACACATCTCAATATATCAGCCAAGAAAATATATGGAATATAAGTGAGACAAGGGAAAGATTTGCATACTTAATTGCTGCTTTTACACCATCATATGATGCAAGTCCGCAAGTTAAGTCCACAACAGAAACATTAGGTGTAGAAACTCTGAAAGCCATCCCAGTGAGCTTCCCATTCAGTTCTGGAAGTACTTTTCCAAAAGTCTATAATCCAGGATAAAATCATTTTCATTTAGATAAATCAGAAGCACATAGTGTCTCACATATCATTTCAACCTTACCTTTGCTGCACCAGTCTGGGGATGATGTTCTGTCCAGCCCCACAGAGCCCGCGCCAATCTTTCATTGAAGGGCCATCAACAGTCTTCTGTGTTGCTGAAACAGAACGAGCCAAACTAAATTAAAAGAACAGTATAAACAATATGATATGATGATAAATGCAATAGCAAACTTGCAAAACATATTCTGGAAAATGTGTTCCTATTTCATCTACAGTTGATGTAAAAGAAGAAACCTGTTGTTGCATGAACAGTGGTCATAAGGCCTTCAGCAATGCCAAACTCCTCATGGACAACCTACAAGATATGAAATGGTCAATCATGTGGTGGCATAGCGATGTTTCACGTTCTATGAAACTTGGGATCCGAAAAGACAGAAGGAGAGGCAAAGCACACTAGAAAATCCTAAAAGGTCAGATGGTAGGGGACAAGCATAATTATAAACTACAAAGTACCACATGTCTCAAGTACCACATGTCTCTAACAGTTATGACATTGCAGGTCATGCCGGGCAATCAGAGGAGAAAAAGACACATGATTGATAAAACAATAAATTCAAGCAACAACCTTGGCTAGAGGAGCAAGACAGTTTGTTGTTCAGCTTGCATTAGAAACAATATTCATGCTTGGCTTTTTTGTGTTCTCATTTACACCAACCGCAAACATGGGTGCATCAGCAGATGGAGCTGATATTGTCACGTTTTTTGCACCACCCTGCAGAAACATTTAAGAGGTAGCCCCTAACATTTTCATAGACATATAAAGAAAAGCTAAATGCAATAATTGAGCATAAGAAAAAGATGCAGCATGCCTTCAAGTGAGCTGATGCCTTTTCCATTATTGTAAAAACACCAGAAGATTCAACAACAAATTCAGCCCCAAAATTACCCCATGGGATATCAGCTGGATTTCTGGTAGAGGGGTGCATTTAGTCATTTTGTTACTTCAAACAGAAAGTATTCATGTATAAGCAATATATGGAGCGAAGTTGGTAAAACTTGAATTCCACTATTAAATCAAAACAAACAGTAATTTTTCTCTATATCACAAAACAAACAGAAATAAACCTGCAAATTCAGTTTAGCTCCTCCATTGCAGATAGTGTCTCTTAATAAATGTAGCACAAAATGGTAAAGAAAAAGTTTCAGATAATAGGCTAATCAGATGATGTATAGCAATCCAAACCTTATATTCATGTGCACATACATCCATCCAAACATATGTAGATATATTGATTCAATGCACAACAATTAAAGAAAGAGGCAAAAGAGTATACTGCAAATACCATCAAGATAGATATCCAATAAAACTTTACATGCTGCTAAAATTTAAATATAATTGCAATACCATTTGCTTGTGACTGCAATCCTTTTACCATTGATCTCTAAGTTGGATTCATCCAAAACCTTATTGGTTCCCTTGAAGATTCCATGAGTTGAATCATACTTAAACATGTATGCCCAGAGAAAGTGATATGATCATTATTTTAAAAAAGATGGAAGAAATAGTAAGAACCATTTTGTGTAAATGAGCAGATAGGTATGATCTAGAGTAGACAAAAGCACTTCCAAATGAAAAATCAATATAACAAGGATTCAAACTACAAGTATATTTAAGATATTAATTAAGTAAACAAACACCTAAAGACACTAGATGGTTGATGATTTGGTTTGAGAAAGGTGAAATGTACCAGCATTTATTATCAGACTGAAATTTAACTGGAGAACCTTAGAGAAATCAGAATTCCATGCATCTCAGTGGTTGCTCCTCTTTGTTAATTGTTTAATTTACTCACTGAATACTTTTGCTTGCAAATTGATTTAATTTGTGAACCGATCTTAGCTATAAGATATATTTCTCTAGAATCAAAATCTTTGGAGCCCATATAATCATACATATAAATACCAATTATTTTCCATTTGCATGGGTGTTCATTTAGACCAAATAAGTTGGCACAGTCATCAAGGCAGTAAAGTGTGTACACAACAGAAGGATTCCGTTGATAATTTCAACTTCCATTAATACCAGATACAAGTAGTCCATAAAAATAATCAAGTAAATAAAGTTGGATAATCCTTTGACATAACTGTTTCACTGAGGCCTTCTCTTGGTTTACTATAGTTAATATCATTCATCTAACAAGTGATAAGTTCTAGCTAAACTAAGTACTATGAGGATTACTGACTAGTTAAAGCCTAGATACAACTTATAATCAGCTACGCTATAAATAATTGAAACAATCTAAATTAACAGGTGATTACAAATTTATGCAACTAGAATTAAAAAAAAAATCATCAAAAGTTATAGCACAATATTACTTGTACTATTGGCATAAAAGATACTTTTATCCTTATTGATTTACTTAATAAAAAGCAAGCAAATTTTAGTTCTGTGCAAATTATGAGTATCATTATGTGAATAAGAATAATAAAGATTCCCAGTTTCCTACCATATACTTGGCATCAATGAAGGGATCATTAACAGATACTGCTTCAATGTCATCTCTGGTTGTTACTATGCGCATCACAAGCCTTCCAATATGCCCAAAACCTATAATGTGAGTTTCCTACCATATACTTGGCATCAATGAAGGGGCCATGAACAGCTACTACTTCAATGTCATCTCTGGTTGTTGTCATGCGCATTACAAGCCTTCCAGAAC